GGGGGGGGGGGGGGGGGGGGGGGGGGGGGGGGGGGGGGGGGGGGGGGGGGGGGGGGGCTCATTTGTTGAATGCCTTGGCGGTTAGACTGTTGGTAAAGTGGGGGGAGGGGGGAGGGAGGATCCCGGGAAAACTTCTGTTCCAATAGAACGAAAAGCGAAGTGTGTGTACGGTGTACGTGCACGACACGACATCACGTTGAGCGGGTACGAAAGACGTGCGTTTCGAGCTCTCTCTTTTCCAACCTTCCTTCCTGTAGGCCACGAACAGAAACACCCAGCCAGCTTCTTAAGAAACATGAAGCCGTCTGCAGAGTCTCGGGGGGGCTCGCCGTGTTAGTCAGCGTTGGTATTGTTTTGACTCTGCAACACGCGGGTATGTACCACCTCATTGTACGAAACGATACGACGGAAATAACAAGGCCAAGACCGAAGAAATACAACCCAACAGCAAGCGCTTGCTCGATCGTGTACCTGTATTATCGCAGACAACACTAGAATCAGAAAACCCCCTCGGCTCCGCCGTTAACAAGCGCAGCCGATACCATAGTGCTCAACTAACCTCAGGCGCTCCTGCGCGGTGTGCGCTTCTTGACACTCCTTCTCGAGAGAGCCAAGACGTGCCTCGAGTTCCCCGCTAGACTCCTTTGCGGCCTCAAGGTCCTCCATCGCCCTAGCGAGCTGCTCCCGCACCGCCTCGGCCTCGTCCTGAGCAGATCTTCCGCTGGCTTCCAGCAGGGCTGACCTTTCCTTCAGCTCCGAGACGTGCCGCTGGCGCTTCTGAAGATCGAGCGACGCCGGCGGGAGGGGGAGGGGGGGGTCGGGCGGCAGGAGGGTCAAAAGAGGGGGGGGGGTTCGGTCAAGAAGAACCGCGTGCATACTGCAGTGAATTTACCGTACGACGCCATGCTCCCCGGTTGGAAGTGCGCGCATCACGTGCGGGCTCCTCTCCTTCAAGGCTGCATTCATCCAGCCAACAATCTGTACCATGCGGCCCGAAGACAGCAAAGAAGGATAGCAATCCAAACACATTTCATCGCCTCTAATTTTATCCCGGACTCTTGATCTGTGGAGGAATAGAGAAGAACTTGTTGCGTGCTTGTTCACAAAAAGAAAAGATAACACCAACCCCCGCTTGAAAACAATCCGCACCTCCACGATGGCCCGCCAACCAGCGACCCGCCTTGACATCCTGGCGTTCCGTGCCACGAGCTCCCGCACCACCTCAAACGCCCTACCGGCCACGGCGACTGCCGCAGAGCGCACGACCTGCTCCGCCCGAAGCCTCTCTTCCTCGGAGGCTTGTGCCCGAAGGATCTCGGCACGCTTGTTGGCGATAAACAGCTTCACCTGTGGGTTGTTGAAACAAGTCGAGACGTGTACTAGGTACTGGGACCGGTGGACACAGTGGGGAATGCGCTGATAATCACGGACATTTTCGTCTCTCTGGAGCGTCTTGGTTAGTAATTCAACATTTTTGCGGAGAGGGATATTATTCTGGTGTACTTCTGTTGTGTACCAGGTAGAGAAACAGAAGCATCTCCTCTTGAAGTGTCCGGCTGCGAAACCAGGTTCACCGAAATAACAAAACACACTCGACACAGGTGTGTGTGATGGTCATAGGAGCAACCAGAAAGAACATACGCGCGGATATGGGTCGCGTCCCGACTCAAAACCAAACGAGGGCAAATCCGACTCAAGGCATGAACCTGTCTGGCTGATCTCCGTGTTGGTGCCTGGACATGAAACATGTAAACCGCCAGCGTAACTTTGGCAAATAGGAACCGAGTATTCCCGGCGCCCGCACGCGCTCCGTGGTGGTCAAACAACAAAAACAAACTACACTACGTTACACCCAAGACCTAGACAGAGTCAGAGATTAAGGATAGGCTGAGCTCAAGGAAAAAGATTGGCACGGCATGCATACATGCAAGCGCGACAACTCTCCCCCCGTCGCCAACACACACAGCCCCATGTGAGTAGAACATCCAATCTACCGCCGTGCATACCTTGATCTGGTGTTCTTCGATGGCTCTCTCGTCTTGCTTGCACCGTTCGCGGTCCCTCCTGAGTTTCTCCTCAAGCATCTTTTCACGCTGAGCCTCCGCAGAAAGGGTCAGCTCGCGCACCTACCAAAATAAGACCCAAAAATAACGGGTAAGGCAAAACAGCGGTAGGAACAAGTTAAACATGTGAGACGTTTCCTTCAAGCAAGTCATTTCTAAGTACGGGGTACTAAGGAAGGCATAGCCTTGTTTAAAGGGTAAACGTTGACCACAGGTTGTTAAGGAAGGTTTAGTCTTGTTTTCAGGGGAAACATTGACCACAGGTTGTCGTTTGGCGACGAGTGACGGGTACATAGACGAGAGAACAGTCATGACCAACGCCATCCATACTTGCCGTACAACGTCGTGTGGCATTGTCGTCGTCGGTGTCCTTTCGAACAGGGGCCATGCACAATCGCGAGCCAACACTCTTGTCGTGGAATAAAGACAAACCTCTTGCAGCAGCTGACAGGGGTGGTCGTGTAGCCCCGGCCTACAATACCTTGCCTTTTTAACACGACTACACCGGACGACTACAATAGGGGGACTTCGGGCGCTGCCACGTGCCTAGAACCCAAAACCTATGAATGTCGTGGTTGTTTTTCCTGTTAAAAGTCTACCGCAAAATATATATCAACCCTGGGCGGTTGGGGTACAAGTAGCAGGGCGAGGCACGGCGAAATGCCATCGGCACATCTCCGAACAGAACTATCGTAGCTTCCAAAAACAGTGATCGGCAAAGCATCAACGAGAGAGAATGCTGGACTACGCCCCCCAACTTGCGAGGACGAACCCAGTAGTGCGCACAAGCCAGCCGGGAAAGATCAACCCGAGCATACAGGCTGCTGCATGGGTGAGAGGTTACCGCGGGCGGCACCCCAAACAAAATCCTACACCTAGTCGATAACCGATAACCGGAGACACACCGGGGAGGCGACAAAAACGAAGAAAACGGACCGTTTTCTCTGCTTCTTGAGTCCGCCTGCCCCGTCACGCGAAACGAAAATCGGTCGATTCGACTCGTCCTCACCGCCGTCAACGACTCAGACCAGCAAAAAACACAGCAGTATTGTCCCTAACCTTAGCTCTTGCTTCGTCGAGGGCAGCCTTCGCCCGCTTCGCCTCCTCCGCCGCACGCTTGGCCTTCCTCTCGGCCTCTACCTTGCTCTGCTCGGTCTCCAGCTTCTCGATCTCCAGCTGCAGCACGCGCGCGTCCGTCTCATCTTCCCCGCGCCCCGCCGTAACACCCTCCCACGAGGGCCCACCGCCCTCGCCGTTGCTGCCGCTCGTCGCGTCGCTTGGGGCACCGTCGCCGCCGTTTTGCCTCTCCCGCTGCTGGAATTCTTCCAGCTGCTGTCGGAGTTTGATGACCTCGTCCTGGGCCTCAAAGGCGACGTCCGCTAGCCTAAGAACGCAGGTGAACCCCGCACCACAAAGACAAGGGTGTTCACAGAATCGAAGGAATGCCGCAGACAAGAGCAGTGTTACCATAGTAAGAGGGTTACAAATCGAAGTGATGCATACCGCAGACACAGGGGGGTAGGAAATCATAGTGTCACCACAGATAAACAAAGGCCCACGGAAGATGGCGAGACAACAAGACCGAGGGATACACCAACGACGGCGTGTGAGCTGAACGTAGTAGAAAGTGTTCTCTTGTGGTACCGATGGGGAATCCGAATGATTTCAGGGGAGGGTTTTGATCGGAGGAATAATTGAGGCAGACTCTTGTACATTAGAACGGGTTTTCGGACCAAACAGACGTGGCAGTTCGACTCACATGAGAAACTCGAGGGTGCCGCACGATCGCGAAAAAAGCGAGGCATTTGTTTGTAAGCCGAGAGTTGCACAAATAAAAACTACGAAAAATCTACTAATCTACCATCGGCGAGGGAACAAGCAGACCGACCCTCGAAATGCCGAAGGCCGCGAGCGAGGGACGTGAGACTACTTTCTTGGTCGATTTTCCGAACACGCTTCTTAGAATGCATGGCTATGTACGTTTCCAGAAAGCGAGGATGAACAGCAAGATAGAGCAGATAGCTGGCAACAGAGCAGGAATACAGAGTTCGATCCACAACGTTGGTATCTTCCCGATCGTCGAACGACAAGGTTGGTGTAAGGACGATTCCATCCATTTCCACGAAACCAAAGCCCTTGAGTAACTGTGCGATGCGAAGCACAGGAATCTTTTCGACCGATTGCCGCGACGAACCAGCAACTACTTGCAGCGCATCACAATTTCTGCAACCTGAAATTCCTCTCGGCCTTCACCTGTTCCGTTCCTCGGCCTGCTTCGTGAGCCTGTCCGCCATGCACGCCAGCTCTTGGTGCAACTCCCCGATCCGCAGCCGCGCTTCCTCTTCCCCCATCGGCCCCGCGTCCCCCCTCTCCCCCCGCTCCTGGGCCAAGGACTCCCGGGGCGGCGCAACCTGATCGGTCGGAGTCCTAGGAATATTGCTCCTGCTCGCGAAAGGGTCCCCCGCCGGCGCCTCCGGCGACCCCTCCCCTTCCACCCCGACCTCCGGCGTAGCCTCCTCCGTTCGACGCTCCGTGCCAGGGACAGCATCAGAATCCCCGTCCTGGGTGTCGCCGACGACGACACCATGGGTAGCGGTAACCCCGGAAGCCGCTGTCTCATCGACAACCGCCTTCTCGGCGACGTCTGTGGCGGGGGCAACGCCACGGGGGACCGCGCCGACTGCCGGACCACGAGTAGGGGTGCGGGCGATTTTCTGCGAGCGGACGAAAGGATCGACGTCCAGCTCCGCATCGTTCCTTCCGTTGCCAGACTCCCCAGGGCCCGCCGGCGCACCTTCTTGTGCCGTCGGCACCGTGTGCGAAGACACCGGACCCGGGTCAGCCTCACCCAACGTCATTCCGCCGGCACCTCCGAGAGTCTCTCCACGCTCTGCAGCAGGAACTGCTTCGGATGGTGGCGGTGCGCTTAGGCTCGCAGGGGGGCCAGAAGTGTCTGCGGAGGATGTGATCGGCTCCGTACTGCTGACGGTGGGGCCGGCTTCAGCGGCGGCGGCAAAAGGACCTCCGGAGGATGTAATCGGCTCTGTATCCCTGGCCGTGGGTCCAGCTTCAGCGGCGGCAGCAGCAGCGGTAGCAGTAGCGGCGGCCGCTTTGGCCCGCCTCGCCGCCGTAGCCACCGCAGCGGCTTCCGCAGCCGCTTTAGCCTCGGCAACAGACGAAGCATAGCGGGGCCTGGGAGGAGCTGCCCGGTTCATAGCTCTCGCGGCTGACGGCCCTCGGGGAGCAGGCTTGTGGTGTGCAGTTGGGGCTACGGCAGCATCGAGTGACTTCATTTGGGGCACCTGAAGGGGGCGGGTAGTGTCGGGGCAACAGAGCGGACATGAAGGGTCACCCACGGGCGTCGGCAAGTATGTGGGGAAGTTCCGGCTGAAACGCCGACAAAGCAGCAAATACAGGTTTCTTCCTGTTTACCCCTGGCTATTGCATCCAAACAAACCAAGAGGGAAGTAGGAAACTTGCAGAATAATGTGATACCAACACAAGCACCTCGGCAGTATCAACAAAGATAAGCGGGCAGGGGGGGGGGGGGGGGGGG